GCAGGAATAAAAAAGCCCTCATCACTTCTCACCCATCTCATCACTGAATAATTATGCCAGCCAGGAAAGACGAATTAGAGAAATGTCTCTGCCTTAGAGTCTGTGACAATTAGCAACGCCTCAGAAAAAAGAAACCTCACATCAATCAAGGCAGAGCTATACCAGGGTTCAGTGGTATAAATCCATAATACTACAGTCTCTTCTCAATGGATGTGTGTAATTAGCAGGCTAATGACAACTAAGCAGTTGTTTTATGTCCTATAGCGTCAAACGTTTACACAGCAGGTAGTTTCTCAACTGACATTTCACAGGAACAAAGACGGTGCACGCACTTTCGGTTTAAAGCAGCATTTCCCCTGGGGAAGCGACGGGCACTAGCAGTGAGTCCAAGAGAGCTGAAATTCAACCTGGGATCTCTCCCAACAGCCTTACCTGTCTAGAAGAATTCAAGTTTTGCATGCCCAGCCCTGAGGCAATCCCGCCCAGGGTCTGATTAGGGAGTGCACTGTTTGAAAGGGGGAGCTTCAGGCTTGGTGAAGGCAAAAATGGTGAAGTAGTGGGCTCTTCCACTAGGCCGCCATCCTGATTGGAGAAAGAAAGGGTGAGCTGCGTGCGGTGCCCAGGAGCAGAGAGTGCACAAAACAGAGTCCCATGGAAATATAAAAGGGCATGGATGAATAAAAATAGTAAAAAAAAAAAAGTATGAATAACAGGGAATGAAAGTATGGAGTGAAGGGAGAAGAAAGAGAGAAATAGGATTAAGGTACTGTTTTTCTTTACTTTATTGCACTTAATCTACAAATGCACAATCGCCTCACCCACCTCTCCAGAAGGAAAGGAGGGATCCTAGCAACCCATCGCAGAGCTACCATGTGGTCATTGCCGCCTCCCCCTTAGATTTTCTCCTGTCTTCTCCACCAGATTGAAAGGTGGAAAGGGAAGAGACCCAGAACATTTCAGGGAAGTCTTCCGTTAGTTTGGTAAACTCTCAGCAGCAGAGCACAGACATACGACATAGCGCTTGTGCTAACCCAGAACTTGAGAAAGGCCAGATCAGCTTATTTGACACCAGTCTGTATTTGGTTCCACATCATAGCTCTGCTCTTAAAAAAGCATTTTTGCATTAATCCCCTTTCCTGAGACACGTGGGTCTCTTAATATTCACATAGCACCGAGTTATTATTATCCACAATAAAACATTACACTCCAACACACCCAATGAACACAAAAATACTTAAAACCAATAACGATAGTGTTGTCTGTGTAGCCTTCCTAGGAAGGCAATTAAGACACTGCCTGAACGTCCCCCAGGAGGAGGCAGATTTTAGCAAGACATAAGGAACCTCCTCTGATAACCGGGCTGTGAGGAACCACGGTTGAACATGGATGCGATGCACAGAAGGCAGCCCCCACGGGGGGCAAACAGCAAGTCAGAAAATAAAATAAATCATATAATCCTCAATCAAACAGGTAGATATCTAGCTCGTATTACAGTGGGGTACCGCGTTCCATCTCAAACTGTGCTTTGATGTCTGCGAAGCCTGCGGCAAGCATGATCAAATAACACTGTGTACAAAGTAGAGCTCCAAAGACAGGCAGAGTGAAAAATCTTTAATTTGCAATGTGCTGGACTGGTGTTTTTCAGACAATATATTCATTGCAAAGAAAGGCTTTTAAATAGGTGAGGAGCTAGGTTATTTCAACCAATACTTTCAACGCCCCAGAAGATTCTGAGATACTGATAAACCTCCTTTGTCATAAAAAGCAGCCCAGTCTGCTAACCAGATACCCAAACAAATGACCTAATGCCGCAAGCACGCTTGGTAAATTTTATGTTCTAAGTTAATCCTGGAAAATGCATTTTCAACAGCTCTCCTTTGATGCAAAGAAAAAGTTTCTTTACTATCGGGCAAAGTGACACTTGACATGCTATCTGACTATCCTGAGGGGGACACTGACGTTTTCTAATGATATCCCCAAGGCCTTTCAGCTCAAGATATTTTACATTCTACTGGACATCAGTCACACTCCACAAACAACTGCAGCTTGCATGACAGTAACAGGTTCAAGGATTTCTCCTTAGATCACAGACATATGTTTACAATTCTACCCTTCCCCCTTTAAAGTGAAAATAATTTCAAGCTTCGTGCGTGCTCTCTCCTTCAGATGCCATTGTCTCCTATCTCAACAGACCTATTGACCATGAAAGACCAATGCAATCCCTCCCCGCTCCCAAAATTTATTCAAGTCTTGTCTCACTGACTTTTTTTTTTTTTTAAATTTTTTTTCTATTTTGGAAACAGGCAGTGCCAGGGACAGCGGAGGACAAGCCACACTGGAGACTCAGGCATCTAATTTCCAGAACAGGCGGACTCTTGCTGCAAAGCCACCTTCACAAGTCTGTTCCTTGGCTGAACTGCAGCAAATGGCTTTTGTAGCAAGTTTATAACACATTGTTCACATTCACTTTGTTCTTTTTTTTTTTTTTTTATTTGAACTTATTGCAAGGTGCCAACTGTGCTGCACAAATCTGTGCTCTGTAAGTGGAGCTGAAATCAATTCACTTCACATAAAGTATTTCAGTCGGTCCACAAAGTACTCCTCAGTCCTTCTCAACCTGGACTAGGTGATACCTTTACTGCTGACAATGCTTTGTGACCCAGTATTATTCAGGCTCCTTTATGTAATAATTGTTTCCTGAAGAATAATATTTTCTACCTAACCTTTCCTCTTCGGTGATTTTCTTACAAATTTAAGTTACATTTCTCCCTCAGGCTAATCAATTAAACAAATCCCCTACATCGGAATTGTCAAAATCATGCTTAATTCAGCACAGCATTTGACTTTTCTGAAGGGATTGACACAACTGTAAAATCCTACTGGTAGCTGTATTTCCTTCTACAGTTATCCAACACAAAGCACCACACTGGTACTCCACAATACGTTACTTTTAGGACTTTGCAAAGTCTCTCACCATAGTCTTGTGTACCAAATATGACAGAATGCAAGCAGCACTGCTCAAAAGATTTTTTAGCCCTGTGAGATATGGACAGTTTAGCAGAGGATGCCTGGACACTTTGGCAGTCACCTGCCAACAACTGCCACTTCAGGAATCAAAATGTCCCAACAGACAGATGGGAGACTGATTAATTTCCAGAGGTCTTTATACAAAGTCAGTTACAGAAGCACTTAGTAGAAAATACACATTAATAACTTCTTAAAACAGAAAAAACCCCAACCCTTTTCCAAAAGAGGAAGTTAAAGTAATAAAATCTCACCTCAAGATAAGTTCTCTTTGAATCTGACAGGAGTTAGGTACAGGTAAAAGAAACTTGTAGGAAATGCAATACTCCAAGAAGTACTCATCATTGGTATTTTTAATTTTGAAAACACAGGAATATGAAAGAGGTTTCAAGATTTGGAAGTTCAAAAGAAACAATCACTGGATCATAGGAAGCAGAGATGGAGGAAAGAAGAAATACTTAAAAGTCAGCCTTAAAATTCTAGTGATCATCATCTAATTGCAAGGCCTACAAAAGTATTTCCGCATAATAAAATATCCCATTCATTATCTCAAAAACAAAAAGCAATCACACTCACCAGAGACAACTGGGATCAGAACGCAAAGGACGAGGTTGAAAAAACCCAACAAACACTATGTTCAAATTAGAAACAAGGAAAAGCCTAGTCAGAATGTTTTTGGAAGAACATGATTGCAGCCAACAGGCATCAAGACTTGTAGATCTGGATTCCTCAACAGTAGAGAAGAGGAGCTGATCAATGAATAAGACAATAGTGAAAAAGAGACTTAAATTTGTAAGGTGAGGATTTCACGGTCTCCTATATGCTCAAGAATTTGGGGAAAAGTTTGGAAGCAGCATTAGGGCAAAGGAAGACGGGAGATTCTGCTAGCAGTATGGGAGAAAGCAGGAAAAAACAAAGAGGAGAGCAGGAGGGAAAACAAGTCTGCCCTGGAACTAACAGAAGCGGTGCAGAAGGCAAGCATGAGCTAATGCCAAAGGAAGCTGATGTTACTACTCTCCAGAGAGCTGACCTGACTTTTGATCACACACCTCCAATACAATGGTCCAGAGTTCAACACTTGCAATCTGACTGTGCTAAAAAATTAAGTGATGTCACTGTATGGTTCCAGATTTTCAATTACGGGGTGGTCAGCGCAGATCAGCAAACCACCACATTGTTCTTCTGAGCTTAGAACACTCGATAGGTGCAGTGAGAATACACATCAAACTTGAGTCCCAGTACTCAGGAGTGGTACCCAAGCCAAATCCCCACACTTAAAGAAAAGATCCTTTGAAGCACTCTGGGCTTATTTCTGATACTTTTCAGGATGCTTCCAGGCAAATCTTACATGCTTTTCTTACAAATTTGATGGCTCCAGAAGACATCAGATAACATCTTCAGGCAAACCTGATACCTAAGTACAGCATGCTTCCCACCAAGTATAAGATAACATGGTTGTGATCGCACATCAGGGTACTGCTAGGCTGGATCTTTGTTTCCTCGAAGCCATTGGATTTTCTCCCCTCTCCTTTTATGGTGCTACAGGGCAAGATAACATCCTGAAAAATAATACAATTAACACAGCACTGAGTGCCAAAGATTGACTCAGTGTGACACAGAATAAAGAGTATCTGCACCAAGTGTTGAGGAACAAGTGAAAGCAAACATTCCAAGGTGATGTTCAGTTGCACAGAGCATTACTAATCCAGAGAGAACAGGGTGTTCAATGGGTCCAGAAGCAAATGTCAGGGCTGGAAATGCTCTCACCTCAAATGCATAAGGTTTTTTTTAAAAAAAAAAAAAAAAAAGTGCTGGCTTTACCTATCAGAGAAAATGCAGGAGAAAAATCACAGACTCAGCTGGGGTCAGCTGAGAGAATCAGCTGAGAAAGAGCAGTAGCAATGAGCATACTAACCCAACTTACAATTTTGTGAAAAGCAACCTCACATAACTTATTGAAGACTCAGCAAAGCCAAGCAAAAGGACAATGACCTGATAAGACGATAAGTAAAATAAGGACCGCTGGCTGGAGTGCTTTGTGCAGCTCTTCGTCGACCAAGGCTGACCTGAGCAGGAAGTGAGGCAGCTCCAGGCTCAGGCTCTGAAATAGTACCTCAAAGGGCAAAAAGGTTTGGGAGAAGAGGATGTAAGGTTTGGAGAAGAGCTCTAGTAGCATGAGCTGTAAATCTGGAAAGGATTTCTTTGGAAAGAATATCTGTTCTTAGAGAAGAAACTGTATTTGTTTAATTCACTGTGCAAGTTGTGAAACATTCTGATAGCTAACAAATATTGTTTGGGATTATTTCCTTTGTTACAGTAAAGTCACTGTGACAGATCACGCCTAGACTGAAGATCTTACTTGCTGTATGAATATTAATGATTTTAGTACTCTGTTCTCAATAGTTGCATTTAACATATGTTTCCATAATTATGCATCATGCAGCACATAACGCACCTCTCTCTGGCAGTAATTTTACTGCCCAAGGCACTGTTACCCTAGAAAATGTTAAATGGCATGCATGCATGAAGTTTATGACCTTCATCAGAAGGGAGATCTTTCAATTAACATATTCATTAAATTCTGCCATAACCAAATAGATTTGGCATAGTTAAGAATGAACTTTACATGGCAGGAATAGAAAAAGAAGGAAGAAGAGTCAGGTTGAACCTCACATTGTAGGAAATACACAATCAGTTTAGTCTGCTTTAGGGAACAACAACATAATGGATGCCACATAATTCTGATATAAGTAGGGAGCCCAGAAAGAACAAACGTTATTGTTCCCCCAGAAGCAGAAAAGCAATCTAACATGTAATCTTTGGAGGAAACTGCCATGACACTAGATTACGCAGCGCTGTGGCAGCATTTGAACTATCACAAAAACTTTTGGTATGGAAGGACCCCCTAAAGCAAATTTTACATAGACGTTAATTTTTCCTTATTAATACAAATAACCCATAATTACATAAGATGCATTTGTGCTTAATCGAATTGACTTGTTTACAGTTTGCATCGTACCAGCACTAAAACTCAGCAAACTGTTTACACTGTGATGACAGCAGAGATAGTGATAGTTGTCACTTAAAGGTCAGGATTTATCAGATGCCCTAGCACAGCACCACACTGGTTTTCTTAGCGCAACACCTGGGAACCTGTCAGAACACAAACTGTAACTTTAAGGATAACACTATAGATAAGACTATAAGAAAATGCAGGGTGAAGGACTAGAAAGAGAATTGTTATTCAGGGTTGGTGAAGTTTTTAATACAGTCTGCGTTAACAAGACTAGATATCATTACTGTCTCACGTCCTGTGAACGGCTTGTGTGAAATGAATTGGTTTCAGCACAGTTTGTGAAAACTATTGATTTCTGCATTCAGAAACCCCCACCCTGCCATCCTTATGAACATTTCAAATAACCTGTGAAACAAAGAATGGCACCAGAGACTGTTCCTTATTAGTAATTGTCAGGGACATTCAGAGGTGATTTGGTGGGTCTCTTTTTACAACCTGACACACAGTCCTACAATCTCATTTCCTACTGAAGATCTGGCTGTGCTCTCCCCTCCATCCTTTTCTTTAGGCACTTTGAATCTTGGACACCAGGAACTTCTGGAGCCTTCTCCTCAGTAACTAAATGGCGCTGGGAAATTTGTCATACATGAACACAGAAAAAGCAGCTCATCAGAAAGGCTATTTATGACTGTGCGTGTCTGCTCTTTGACTTAACAAAAATACCTCAGTGCCTCATTCCTATTTAAGTACTGAACTTTCACTGAAATCTGTAAGAAGTTCAAAACTAAAACAGGAATTAGGAGCCTAATTCTTGAAGATTTTGGCCTTGGTCCTGTGTGACTGTTACTGCAGGCAAGGGTCACTGGCTCTCTGGATTCTCACAGAATAAAAGGCTTTCTACACTCCATTTCTTTGTTTTTCCCATTTCTAGTTCCACTGCATTACCGATTCCTTCATAGGTTTTCATGTAATTTCCTATCACGTTTCTCTCTACAGTTTTCTAAACAGATAGTGGAAATCATCAATATTTCTACACCGTGGGCAGTTCTGACTTGTATATCACACTCATACTTCTGAACCTACCTTGTCAAGGAAGGTGGGGCGGTCCATGGAAGACTCTTTGGAGATTGGTGGTGGGCGGCAGCCAAGGGGTTTGGTGACCATTCCATTGTAGTCGGTCACTCCCATTCCACGCTTGTCCATTTCCACCTTCTTTTCCAGCAGAGCACCTTCACAGAAAGGGGAAATGTATTGAAAAAGGTGACACGATGACAGAGAATTTGCCAACAGTAGTTCAGAGAAGTAGATCTTGCTTACAAAAGCAAGAAAATGAATATTATCAAATATATATGGGTAAGATCAAACTCTCAGGATCATGAATTGTTCCTGTGTTGCTTTAAAGAAGAAAAAAATTTAGTTACACAGATACTTACTCATGGCCTGATCAAGATTCATATTGTTGCTCTTCAAGGCCTCTTCCGCTGGCTCTCTCTGTCAAAAATATGGATTATGTTAAGAGAAAAAGTAATCATGCTTATGTGATTTTAAAGCAAACTGAGAAAACAGATATGTTCAACTACTGGATTTAATATTTACTCAGCAGCACAAATAATGTCTGCGCACATTTTTTTCCACTTCTACCAATTCCCACAACAATTCAGTTAGTTTCAGTTTGTCAAGTAAGTACCAGTTCTACAAGGTCAAATCATGCAGTTTTATTTAAATATCTTCCTGTTTTCTATGGGCAACTTAAGTATCACTATGATATGCCTTTCTCTAAAAAAAAACCCAGCTATACTCTGATTTCACCTGTTTGGTAAGAAAAGGGGAACAGGAGTGCAATTATGACTGAAGTTCAAAGTAATACCTATCGTTATAAACCCCTGAACTTCAAACGAGCTATAAATGTCATCGCACAAAGTATATCATCAAGTAACCTCAGAGAGAACTCTGCTAGATCACGGTAGATTTCCGAAATTAGAGTCAATGGCTAAACGTGGGTAACAGAACTACTTCCTGGCCTGAAGAAGAGACCGAAGATCTTTTCGTAGCTATAGCCTGAAACATGGTAGAGTCAGAACTACAAGCTACAAAAGCCAAGTCACAGGAGTGCTAGCTGTGCACACTACTCACAGGGAAGCCCATGTCTGTGAGCTGTTTTATCAGACGATTCATGATCCAGGCCTCATCTTGCTTGCTAGATGTCTTCATGCCCTTAGTAAATAAATGGGAAATTCCATTAATGGTCTGGTTCCCGTATTCATACTAGTGAGATGTACATAAAATAGATGTTAAGTTTTTCTTATTAATAATACATGCTACTGAAAGATATATTAGTACATTAATTTAGAAAGTATTGAAGAACCCTCCGAGCAACGTAACTACGATTCTCTTCCCCCACAAAGTGTACAAATTTTATCTCAGCTGAATAGATGTTCAGTGTACTATTTAGTATGTGATTTGCTGACCACTGAATTAAAGCCACCTTTGAATTTACGTATTTCATTTTAATCCTTGGCAGAAAAATATAATGAAATTAAATTTTCTGAAATAGTACAACACTTCCTGAAAAACATTCCCAAAACCGACTTTGTAACCTTGAAGTTAAGAACGTTATTCAGTGTATTTTCTTAAAAACAAACAAGAGCATCTAGATAAACACCTTTAAAAGATCTCTGTGCAGCTTTTCTATCACAAAATCCTTAAGAAGTCTCTTCCTTTCAGTTCTCCAGAAAGTACCAAGGGACAAGCGTGGATTTGTTTTGGGCTGCGGACAGTACAAGAAACAACCATACTTGATCAAATCACTGGCCTAACTGTTGGCTAATGGAATAACAAACAAACTGGATAAATGCATTCCCAATTCCTTTAAGTTACAGCCTGGCCTTCTCCTGAAATAAAGACTGTACAATGGAAAACTTCCTAACATAATTGTCTGTATTCTTGGTTGAGTGCGGCATTAATACAAGTTTGCTTTGTTCTCATACCAGTACACACCTTATAATTATCTATTTGTTACTCACAAATAGGAAATAGATAGATTTTTTGTTGAACCACTTCATCACAAACCACTGTTCGCTTTTCTACCACCACGGCAAGTGTCTGAAAGCCCCCTTAATCGTTTTTCTGTTTCTGTTAATACATTATAATGTCTTTAGAATACACGGAAGTTTATAAAACTCAGAGAAAACAAAAGCAACAACAACAAAACCTCCCAAAGCCTCTGACATGCTGAAAGTCAAAGTTCCCCCATTTTCCCCTGTAAATAGCTAGCTGTACTTGAACCACTGTAGTGGCAAGTGTTCTTGAGTTCAGGTGTAATGCAACAGAAATTTTATGACAACTGATTCTAGAAATGTCATACTAATTCCACTCACTTCTAGAGACTATCTTTATTTGCATCTTACCTTTTGAAGTCCTTTCTTCGGGGCATTCCCCCAGGAATTACAGGAGGAGCTGCTCTCTTGTGAAGCAGTATTATTCCACATATCTCCTTCCTCATCTTCCCACTGACTAGTACTGAGATTCACTTCATCCCCACCACTGCCCCAGCCTTCTTGCATAGATTTTGAAGCTGGAAGGAAAGAGGGAGAAGAAAAATCAGATTCAATTTCCTGCAAATTTTACAGAAATATCCTTTTATGCCATACCCCATACACTAACATTCGAGTATTTTCAAGAGATACAGAGATTCATCAAGTAGCTTAATTGGCATTAAATGATAAGGACTCCTTCTTTGAAGCTAGCAAAAAAGAAAAGTTCTCTAAATATTTTATGGAAGAAGTAGTCCAGCAATACCAACTCTTGGTCTCCTCAGACCAACGAACCAAAAGTGTGACCACACACTTAAGTGCAATTTTGCCTTCAATGAATCACACTATTTTAGCGGCTACAGTCTGCCGATGAACAAAGCCAAATTTTGAGGTCACTAATGGTCAGAAACTCATTCCAACCTCAGAAGAATGGGAACTGAAAGGAGCACGTGGGCTGCAAGGAACACGTTACATTAAGTGACGAGGTTGTGTCACCTCATTCTGTTTTATTCCATTTACTCTGTTTAAAGCTGAGATTACTCATCTTAAGATCTCTCACTCCTCTTATCGGGTTTTCTGGGCCTTCTATCTCTCAGTATCGTATTTTGCAGGAGTGAAGCTTAAAGACTATGACAGCCAAAACAGAAGTCTAAAACTTCGGAGGATTTTTTGTCAAATAGCATTAGCTAGGAATCATGAAGCAGTAATTTGTTCAGCATGTTCCTGAACCTGTGAATAGTTTTAAGAGCTGAAGAAGATATTCACTCCTGCAGTTTAACAGAATAGTGAAGTTATGACTAGTTGTTCTCACGTGTTTCTTTTCCTACCAGAATCAATCCTATCTTGACTGAGCTCAGTTGCTTCTCATCCTCATACAGGGGTTTTTTAGGCAGCAAGGGATAAGTATTGTTCACATTCTTCTGCAGTTTCACAGTTTCCCATGTCTCTAAAATTTATACTGTACTGCTTTCAAAGTACACAAAAATACTCTAAGGAATACCTTGAGATTTACTGGATCGATGCACTACATTGATAATTTTGTATGAATTTGGTATCTGGAATATCAAGGTTTTGAGACAGCTATGGCAGTTTTAAGGATGAAATGATGAAGACTTAAATACACAGAAAACCAGAAGCGCTGTTTACAAACCCTGGCAGAAGCAAACACACTTTGCCTTTTCCCCCAACCTCTTACGACAGTGACACCCGCATACCTGGTTTGCACAGTGCTGGGGCAGCAGCTGGAGCATTTGTTCTTCCGTATGTCCCTGCCGACTCGGCAGGATTATCTCCCCACCCTGTACCACTGCTGGGGGGTTTCCCCCACGCTGAAGTGCCATTATCAACTGCAGCAGAAGGGGACGACGGCTCTCCCCAAGAAGCTTCGGTCTTTGTGTGGACAGTAGGCATTTCTCCCCAGCCTGCTGAAGCACGGGAAGGAGAGAAGAACAGTGATGAGAGGAAAGGTTTCTTTTGTCGATGATTTTAAGATGGACACTTTTATTAAAGTGTTTGTCTGGAAAGAACATGAACCAGTAAGTAGACACAGTGATTCTAATTAAGCAGATGAAAAAAAAATCCCTTTGATTTGGTCTCAAAACCCTCTCTCTTAATGGAATTCTAATGCCAAATTGTTTTAACAACGCCAGGAGCAGTCAGGCTGCCACACGAGCACCAGACCTGGTCCCACGGGAGCAGTTGCTTCTGATGCGACTTGTCGAGCAGAGCGAAAGGGCTCGGGGAGCACACGCAGCAGTGCGAGCATCCGGGAGACCAGGACCCAAATCTGAGCTGGGCCTTGCTTCACTGAAAGATTTTAAGCTATTTTAATTCCTTTTAACTACTTACAAATTATCAAATCTCTTTTCTCATGCCCTGTGAGCGAGTATGGTATTTGTTTGTTACCACTTTCAACGTAATTATATGTTGCATGCATTCCTTAAAGCTTTTATTACAGCTTGTGTTGACTGCGCTCCCTATGTATTCCTTCATCACCGAGTCTCTACATTATAACAAAGATGACTTTTAACGAGAACTAGACAAGACTGCAGTTAGAATCTATAGTGAAAACATGAGGAATGGCAGGTAGAAGTCACTGTTTTCCTACAGAGTATTATTTTAACTCACTGAAAAACGTAAGCTACTACAAAGAAACTGTCTTAACTCTGGCTCGGCTTGAACATAATGCGCTTAAATCCATATGACAGTGATTTTAGCACTGAAGTCAAATGCGTTAGGAACAGCCATATTGCTTCTAAGTCCTCAAAAGCAACACTGACCAACCCAGCAAAAGCGTAAGTTGAATTTAAAATGACCATGACCTCTTAAAACAAGGTTTTTTCCGAAGACACACATTTGGATCGTAGATGGAGTTAAAGGTACTTTTTTAAAGTATACAAAAGAGCCAGGCACATAACAGGCAAGAAAACAGAGTTTTTACATACACCCAATATTAACCTGTTTTTCTACCATTATCACAAAAAGCATTACATCAAATGACAACCGAGATCTCAAAAAGTATTGCAGAATGCAGTGTGCTTAAAACTTCCACTGTTAATTAGGCTGCTAATTCAAGAACTTGCCCTCTTTTCATTGGAGATCAATATTATGAAGTATGGGTATTTTATTCTGGTCAACTATTGCCCCCCACAATCTGTAACTTCTAGCAGCTCACAGCATGGAAACAGATCCCGTAAGAAAGAATCTTGGTTTTGCTACTACCCAAAAAAGTCTGTCATTACTGTTTTTAACGGATTTTCATAATCTAAGGACTATATGCCTACTTTGCTGTAGCACTATTCCTTTTTTGCTCCCTAATGCTACCTGTAAAAATACTCTGGAAAGGTTTCAAAGAGTAGAACCATAACTTTTTCTGCACAAACTGACATCTACAGTAGGTAGAAAATGCCAAGGAAGTTGCCACAAAAGAACTGGAATATCTTGAAATACATTAAACTAACTAGGCAATGGTGTTACAAAAGCAGACTTCTTGCTAGACGTCTTTGCAGAACTTAAGTGATTTCAACAGAATTTCTGTTACTAGAAACTGCAGGCAACATACACCACCAACAGTAACTCAAACACTGGTTGGGGCGGGGGGGAAGATTCCTTTCAAATAGATGGGCTCATATCAGCCCACTGCTCCAGTGTTACTCTATTACACAGTTATTTTAGGCTCTATTTCTTAAAGGAACTGCAGTTCTCTCCGATACCGATAAAAGTGCATATGACATAAAACATATCCAAACTAAGCCTACATGTTCAGGAACACGCAGCGTAATAAAGCTCTTTCACTACCAGCAAGATTCATTGTGTTTGAAAACACACATCTGAAACAACCCAAAATTTCACTGTGTCCTTAAATTAATTTCCATTGGAAACAAAAAAACTTTGTTCTAAGCTCTATCAATGTATCTTAAATTTCTGGTAATTTAAAGTGTGGACAGAAGACCTTCTTGCAGACACACACCTGTATGTATACAAATGAACTTCTATTTAACATGGCAACTTTGTGTTGCACCTAAAATACTCATTCAGCTTTCCGCTTGTATCTTTAGGGCAACTTTATTTAAGGTACGCTTCATTTTAATTTCTGCCTCACTGCCCAGAAAGCAACCCGGTCAGACAACTGCGTGTATTTGATCATATTGGCATCTGAAAAAGATTAACTGCAGGCAAATGAAACAGAAAACAAAACATCTCTCAAGCACCAACCAGAATACAAACACAAACAGAGAGAGTGCAGAATACTAATATTTCCCTGAGTTCATGCAGCCTGTACTGGAAACTCTAAGTAATTCCACTTAGGAAATGAACCTTAATACACAATTCACATATTGAGAAGGCAAAGTGTGCTAGGTTGTAGAATAAAAATTCAAAGACCTGGTCCTCCTGTTGCTCTTCACTATAAATTCAACAACATTGATTAAAGACCACAGATGTGTAATGTCCAAGTTATTTTGAGTTAAGTGCTTTAAATGCGCTGAGCAGTAAATAATACGGGATTACAAATAATGAGGAAGCCAGTCTTTACTAAAAGATAATACTTGCAAGTACAGAAACACAAACAAAATGCATCAAGTAGAAGTTTTCTAAACTACCTTAACAGACCAAACTAAGTGCATGAAATTAGTAAATAAAACCTGAAGGCTGCTGGAGAAGTAACTTGTGCACCACAAAAATTAACCTCTGTGTAAATTCCAGAGTATTTCTCAATTATGAGCCTGTTCTCCCCTCGGTGGTAAGTACCTGCTGTCTTAATGTTATCACCTCTGTGCTACCTTTTTATGACTCTGTGTGACTATTTTAGAAACTTAAAAAGGTGAATAAAATTACATTTTTGAATGAATGATGCAAAATTCTACAGGCGAAAGAAGACATTTACTTTGTATTCTCCAAAGGACATGCTTTTTTTTTTTTTTTTTTTGAGTTTTCCTCAATTTTTAAAATAACCCAGTATGCTTCATATTTGAAACAGAAACAGGTGGAATACTACTTCAAAGAGTTTGTAGTCCCACCAGCTTGCCTCTGGCAGCGTGATGCCTTCCAGTGCTACCAGTTACCATAAAGGCAGCTCACAAATGGTGTTACAGTGGGTTGAATGAAAGTAAGAAGCTACTTTGAAGTTCCTTTGGAGGGAAAACACCTTCACAGTGGTCTCAAAATCTGAACCTGTCTAAAGTTTTCAAAAATCCT